GTCGGCTGTCTCAGGAGTCCCACGAGCCAACCAGGCTCGAAAGGACTCCTTCTTCAGCTTGACGGCATCCCTTACTTCTGGTGTCCACCACTGGGTTCGGGAATTGCCACCACGACAGGCACCGGAGACCTTACGGCCACAGCTCCGAATGGCCGCATCGACAATGGAGGTGGAGAATATGGTCCACTCGGACTCAATATCTCCAGCCTCCCCCGGGATCTGGTCAAAGCTCTGCCGGAGGCGGGAGTTGAAGATCTCTCTGTCACTATAGCATGAGTTTACTGTGACTGCAATGCCCATGTTCATTATCCATCATCATAAACACTAATGATTCGCTGAATTTAGTTATATCAGTTTCTTTATATTTGCATTAGTCATGGTAGGTTTGATATTCATAGTTTGAATTTTTAAACACAACAAACTCACATCCCACTGCCATCTTCAGTAACTGGTTTCACCCACAGACAGGTCAGGGGATAGACATGATGTGTGGAGAACTGTAAATAGAGAGAGAGCAGTTGTTAATGCAGTTTAATGCCATTATTCTTGATAATTCTCACATTAGCTAACATCACAATATTTGATTATTATTATATATAATTTACTGGTATATTGTTTTATTTAAAGCCCAACTATTCAATAAAGATGGAAAAACATATGCCATAAAAATAATATGCACAACACAGCACATCAATGAGAGAAACAGGGCAGATTTCACCACTGTCTAATAACACACCAGCCCACACTAAACTTAAAAGGAAAGCAAACTATTAAATGAGTCCACAGTAAATACTTAATTCTTCAATAATGAAGGTGTCACTTGGGTTAATCAGTGACTGTAATGTCTTCTTGTCCACACACACAGCAGCCTGTCTGGCAGCAGAATCAGCAGTCAGAACATGCAAACAGCCCCTTCAACAGTCCACAATGTTGTGTACTAATATTCATTTATTTGCCTGCTGTACCATGTGAACCTCTTAAGAGTGTGAGCGCTGAACAGAGGCCAGCCCACTTTATGCTGCAGCATAAAGCTCAGTGTGGTTAAACTGGTAGGGTGGTTGGAAGTGAAGCTGGGCAAACTTGTGCCAAATATACTTACAAGACTCTGAGAGGGAATGGCACCCTGAGTGAATGAAAGACACAATGCATACATTTAAACCTCTACTGCTCAACATAGCAGATGTCCAGAAACACAGAGTGGAAGCTTTGTCCGGTCTGGGCGAGGCTGACAAAGTCCACCATGGGTTTACACTACCTACAAAATAGAACAGAAATGCCATCCTTTGGCTAGCATGTGCATGTGTGTGATTGCATTTGCTTGTGCACCTGTGTGTGCACAAACACGTCGTTGAAAAGTATGAACCAGTGGTTGGAGAATCGCCCGGCGTTCTGCAGAGTCAGAGATCTGTTGCTGCTTTCACACACCACACGGCGCTGTGGGAGACGCAGAACCTCCTGAAGAACAAATACATGGATGCAAATCTGACAAACTGATGAAAACAACAGTGTATTAACATCTTGAGACCTTAGACTGCAGAAAACTAGCATATAAACACAATTAACAATGGTGTAAGTTCCATCTAAGGCAAGAAGATAAAAACTCTTTGTGATTGATGTGTCTAACATTTCCCGAACAGGAACACTGTTATCCCTGAGTTGTGAAATAATTGTCACAAGCACAGATGCTGATGTGGTTTCAGAGCTCAGAATAGTGTGTGGTGAAGTTTTGTCCATTATATATAAACTTTCTAAAGGCTTTCTCGCCTAAACAGTACAGAAAAGATGAGCCTGCATAATAAAACACAAAGCTGTGCTCACAGTATTTTTTCCAGAGTGGCTCTTCCAGAAGAGGAAGGTGGATTCAGCTTCTTTCTTCCTTCTCAGTAGGGACAATGACAGGAACTCATACTGACTACAGCCCTGCTGGAGGCCCTGGTACTCCATAGTTAACTAGGGGAGAGAAAAAGAGAAAACAAGTAACAGCAAGTTAAAAAATTTTTAAATTTGAAAATAAAGAATAGTAGGGTTGGAGGCATCTTATTTCCAACACAGTGACAGTAATAACTTACAATATATCCAAAGTTACTCAGTAATGGGAAATACAGAAAGCTGGGGGAAGTATGAAGAGCGAGGAGGAGGAGGATCAAAGAAGCAGTGCAAAGAGGGCAGAGAGTTTCATCCTCACCACATCATAACATGTTGCCAGTTTAAGCAGAAGTCGGCTATACTGGTGGAGCTGCTGCAGAGGCCAGTACAACAGTGACACCAGATCAGTATCACCACTAGCAGACTGATCTGCAACAGGCAGCTGAGCGAGGATGGTCTGCCGAGAGCCTAAACACTCACTGAAGGGTAGAGACAAAAGGGAAAAACAGAATGCTCTTAGGACTCAGGTATCTGTAGTGTTTACATCTAAATACGTGTCTGTTGTCAGCCGATGGAAGCCAATCCATTTGGTTCAAGAAACACTTGTTGTCCAAAATGATCATCAAGATCTATTCTTGCTAATGTTAAGGCCATGTTTAGACCAATAAAAGCACTGTTGCTAGAGCTCTGTGCAGTGACACTTGCAGGTCCAATTTATGTGAATAAGGAGTCTGTGTCTCTGAGGTGAGCAAGAGCCCATGAAGTGAAAACATACAGAAAGAATGAAGGAGCTTACAGTGAGAGTTTCTGGAGTGACTGGAATCCACCCATTACCTGGAAGTCACCTACTGCAGAACAATATCTGGAGAGAGACAGACACATGCTTGCTCTTGTTGACATGTTGAAAGCTGTTTAATTTTCATTTTAAGCAATTTTAAGCTTTAATTTTAAAGTAATACAATGGGATGAAGCAAATGAGAGAAACAATACAGGACGATTAAAGAGTAAAATTGTGGACAAACATAACAGAGCAAAACTAAAGAAAAGAACAGTTTTTCCCACAAATGATCAAATGTAACAGCTGATTTCTTTTGACTTCTGTAGCTGTGTTCTATGAGAACAAAAACCTTACTCTTTATAAATGTCCAGGAAGTGCTCAGTGTGCGTCAGCAGTGGAAGGGAAGTGACATTACGGCTTTGCACGTCATGCAGGAAGTAGCTGAGTGACGTGGCATGTCGACCAATCAGGGCACTCAGACGGACAAAACTCTCACTGAGAGAGAAGAAGAGTTGAGTGCATGGCTCACCTAATGATGGACACACACCCTCTGTGGAGGAGAACACACACACTCATCTATGTATGCATTTGCTATTGGCACATCTATGCTCAAATCATACATGCACTGTTCTTTGAATTTGTCATCATTTCACAGGTTTTCATTCACATTTAATAGGAACATATTCATATTCCCACACCAACAGTAAGGTGGTCAGATGCACCACGGCTGTTAGCACTAATCAACAACAATGCAGCCAGTACAGAGATGGTCTGACCTCTAATGCGTAACGGTGTGAGAAGGAGCTTCCTGACGCTGCTCAACCAGCAGTATAAGTGTCGCTCTCTGGAGGCGAGCTCGTGGATAGCAGAAATGAAGCCCATGATGTTCTGGTCCGCCAACAGTGCACAGTTCTGACCTCCGCTGCACACACTGCTAATGTAACCCATCTATATGCATAGAGGAAGCAAAGGTCACTGATGCATTAAAAGCATGATGGTGTTTTGTTAAGATCACACTGAGTTTAGGGTTAGCAGTGGGACTGAACTCCATCTCTCCCCACAGTACGAACACATCAGCATGATAAATGCTAGCTGTTTTTGCCATTAATACAAACTGCACTTTGCATTCTTTGCCTGATAATACTCAGAACCTAATTTGACAATATAAATACAGCAGGGTATTCATATTTCAGGACTTGAGATTGTCAGAGTTCCCCATTAAGAATTTCAAATCACTTGTCTTTCCTATTCATTATGTGATTTGTGTGTTATTTTTTAGTTTTCTGTTATTCCAGCATTTTGTATTTTCCATGTTGCTTTTTTCATCCTTTTCTGACTTTCTCCCTTTGTCCAAAGTATTTCCACCTGGATATTTAAACATGTCCACTGTCTTTGACTGCTTTCTCCCTTTATGTCATTTATGGGTCTCTTGACTGATGGCAATTTCCTACCAGTACCACCTTTTGCACTTTTACCATACAGAACTATTACCAACATGTAAAATAAAAATAAATATACCACTGTGGTGCAGTTCTTCCACTCTCTTCCTCACTTTCAGTTATAATGAAGGAGGGTAATTTTATTTTTTATTTGTATGCTGTGGTAAATGGCATTGACCCATGCTATACAGTTGTCCCAATAAAATAAAAACAATATGTTATATTAAAAACAAATATATAAATAAGGTAAAAAATAATCAAAACTGTCACCCTACAAACCTCCATGCAGAAAGGCAGCAGGGTCGGTCTGACTGTATAACTCTCTGCCCTGTTGGGTGACCTCTGACATGACCTTTGACTCTGGAGTGACCTTCCACTCTGCTCTGACATTGGCTCTTGCTGCTGGCCACAGTATAACAGGATCGGCTGGACACAGTCTCCGTCAGCCAAGAGGAGGGAATGGCTTTGACCGGCAGACATGTCCCAAACCCAAAGACCATCAGACAGCTACAGTGGCTCACCAGAAACAAAACAAGGTGCACTATAAGGACATTCACTGGCTTGTTGCATTTGTATTGGCATGTTGTTGAGAATGTTTTACAGTGTCATCAACACCTCCTGAATGCTATCACAGATGCATTTACCTAAACCTTTTAATTACTTGTTACTATATAATGTGCCATGAGGACTCCCTGTCAAAATGCTGTACCTTCACCTGCTGAGGAACAGTGACAGGACTGTTGACATGACCGAGCTGTCCACACATGTTGCTGCCCCATGAGTACACCTGCAACACACAAAAACAGTCACACTGTGAGTGAATGTGGGTGTGCTCATGTACTTCTGTGTTTATGAGAACTGGATTGACTTTTAGACCTTGAAAATAAGAACATTTTGGCATGTACAGTAAGTGGGAGTCCTCACATACAGAAGTACAAGCAGTGTGTGTGTTACCTGGCACTGAGCAGTCAGGGCCAATGAATGGTGTGACCCTGCAGCAACTTTGATCACTTCCTCGCCTGTCAAAGACTTGATACACAGAGGCTGGAGTCTGGACACAGAAACAGACAAACACTTGTTTGTTTTCATTCCTTGTAAGGACATTACATTGACTTACATTCAGTTCCTGGAGACTTACCTTAACCATAACCAGTCATAGCATAGAGTTTTCACATTAAGTCGAAGATTAAAAATCAGTTGCATGATAAAATGTGATGCAGACAAATTATTTTCTTTTATAACATTTTCTGTTTTAGTGTATGAGTATACATTTTTGCAAGCTATATATTGTAAATATATGTTGTGTGTTCAGACCTGGCAAGTTGATCTCCGTGGCCTAGTTGCCCCTCAGACCCACGGCCCCAGCTCCACACTTCTGTCTCCAGAGATGGCAGCCTGTCTCCTACATCCTCTGGTGCTGTCGTGTTTTAGTGTATGAGCATACATTTTTGCAAGCTATATATTGTAAATATATGTTGTGTGTTCAGACCTGGCAAGTTGATCTCCGTGGCCTAGTTGCCCCTCAGACCCACGGCCCCAGCTCCACACTTCTGTCTCCAGAGATGGCAGCCTGTCTCCTACATCCTCTGGTGCTGCAGCCTGCATGCGACCAGCAGATGGCGTTCTGCAGGCACAAGGCTGCCGTCGCCGTGGAGACCCTGAAGGAGAAACACACAACCTAATGGTAAAATCCTGGTAAACAGTGTTGCTGTAAAACAACTGAACCATCACATAATACTTACATTTGAGCATCTGTCTAGTCTACAAACATATTCTATCTGTTATAAGTGACAACAGAAGGCCCAACTGTGGCTGTACTTCCTGAGGAGGCTGAGGAGGTTTGGCATGTCGCCTAGGATCCTCAGCAACTTCTACAGCTGCATCATTGAGAGCATCCTGACCACCTGTATCACTGTCTGGTACGGCAGCACTACTGCTATGGAGCGCAAGTGCCTGCAGAGAGTGGTAAAGACTGCAGAGAAGATCACCAGCCCTCTCTGCAGAGCATTTACCAAAACAGAGTACTCAGGAAAGCTGCCTCCATCCTCAAGGACCCCACCCACCCCCAGCATGGGCTGTTCACACCCCTATCCTCAGGCCTGAGGTTCAGAAGTGTGAAATGCAGGACCACTAGACTGAAAAACACCTTTCCAACTGCCATCAGACTCCTAAACAGCTGACAGGGGTTTACAATCAAGGACTACTTCATGCAATTGCACCTGTACTGTTTATATGCTCAATTGCACACCCACTGCTGACTACTGCAAATACAGCTTCGATGTAACATACATTAACTCCTAGTGTGTTTTCATTATATTTTTATATACTTGTCATTATATTTCTTTTCACTTCCTGTTTAAAGTGCCTTTAGACTTTGTGCTACTGTTCATCTACTTTATATTTCACTTGTGTTGTTTGGCACTCAGTATGGACGGCAAAGTAAGAATTTCATTGTTCAGGGAAACTTGTTTCCATACTGTGCATATGACAATATACACTTTGAATCTTGAATCTTGAACAGTATCACCCTTATCATGGCATAGATGTATGCATGTGTAACTATGTAACCAGTAAGTGTAGCACTCCCTCCACAGACAACAGCAGAGTTGGCACTTAAGGTGTTCAACAGTCTAAACAAACTATACCAAATGGGTAATCACATAAATTATATCCAACAGGTCTGGTATGTACAGTACACACCCATAGGACTTAATGTGCTCATCTAGAGCTAACTTGTAAAGCCTTGCATTTCCAAAACAGCCAGCAATGAGCTAGGTGATGCAGTCGTTCAGAGGTCAGAAGGCACACAACAGGAAACCTCACTAGCAGCAACAACTACTACTACTACAATAGAGGAAAGAAGGAGATCAACTCTCTCCAAGTAGTTATATACCCTTCTGTTCAAGCGCACTGGTTACAAAATTGCTTACTGCTATTTAGTTTCATTCGGACACCCCTGAAATGTCTGGCAAACTAGAAAATGATCAGTTAAGACTGCAATGCTTGCTAATTGCAGGATATGGATATAGGTCATTGAGCTATGAGAAGGGTCCTTTTGGATTATGCAGTACAGGGTCATTGTCTCAGCAAAACCAATATTATTATTTCAAGATCATTTTATAATTTGAGCATGCACATGCTGTGATCTTGATGTATTTTTTGGAAGTGTGTCAAAGTGAAAGGCAAACACTGGCAGCAAGGGCACTGTAGAGTAAATACTGCTATTCTTCTTCCTTGTTGGCAGGGCTGCAACTTCATAATGGACTACAATTCAGTGATCCCAATGATAATACTTACTTCAGTAATACTAGATAATATATGACAAGTGCATTTGCACAGTATATGCAGTACAGTCAGAAAGTATCCACAGCTCCTACCTTTTTCCACATTTTATTAGGTACAGCCTTATTCAAAAATTGATTAAATTCAATATTGTCCTCAAAATTCTACAAACAATACCCCAAAATGACAATGTGAAAAAAGTTTGTTTGAAATCTTTACAAATGTATTAAAAATAAAAAACGTTAAAATCACATGTACAGTACATAAGTATTCACAGCCTTTGCCATGACACTCAAAATTGAGCTCTGGTGCATCCGGTTTCCACTGATCATCCTTGAGATGTTTCTACAACTTAACTGGAGTCCACCTGTGGGAAATTCAGTTGATTGGACATGATTTGGAAAGGCATACACCTGTCTATATAAAGGTCCCACAGTTAACAGTGCATGTCAGAGCACAAACCAAGCCATGAAGTCCAAGGAATTGTCTGTAGATCTCTGAGACAGGACTGTATCAAGGCATAGCTCTGGGGAAAGGTACAGAAAAATTTCTGCAGCATTGAAGGTCCCAATGAGCACAGTGACCTCCATAAATGGAAGAAGTTTCGAACCACCAGGACCTCTCCTAGAGCGGGCCGCCAGGCCAAACTGAGAGACCAAGAGAGAAGGTCCTTAGTCAGGGAGGTGATCAAGAACCTGATGGTCACTCTGAAAGAGCCCCAGCATTTCTCTGTGGAGAGAGGAGAACCTTCCAAAAGAACAACCATCTGCAGCACTCCACCAATCAGGCCTGTATGGTAGAGTGGCCAGACGGAAACCACTCCTCAGTAAAAGGCACATGGCAGCCCAACTGGAGTTTGCCAAAAGGTACCTGAAGGACTCTCAGACCATGAGAAACAAAGCTCTCTGGTATGATGAAACAAAGATTGAACTCTATGGCCTGAATGCCAAGCGTCATGTCATGGAGGAAACCAGGCACCGCTCACCACCTGGCCAATACATCCCTAAAGTGAACTATGGTGGTGGCAGCATCATGCTGTGGGGATGTTTTTCAACAGCTGAAACTGGGAGCCTAGTCAGGATCGAGGGAAAGATGACTGCAGCAATGTATAGACACATTCTTGATGAAAACCTGTTCCAGAGCGATCTGGACCTCAGACTGGGGCGACGGTTCATCTTTCAACAGGACAATGAGCCTAAGCACACAGCCAAGATAACAAAGGAGCAGCTACAGGACAACTCTGTGAATGTCCTTGAGTAGCCCAGCCAGAGCCCAGACTTGAACCCAACTGAACATCTCTGGAGAGATCTGAAAATGGCTGTGCACCGATGCTCCCCATCCAACCTGAAGGAGCTTGAGAGGTACTGCAAAGATGAATGAGAGAAATGGCCCAAAAATAGTTGTGCCAAGCTTGTAGCATCATACTCAAAAGGATAATGAGGATAATCACCTTTATTGGCCAAGTATGTTACACACAAGGAATTTGTTTCCAGTACAGAACCGAGGCAGCCATCTGCGGCGCCAACTCAACCGATGGCTCTAACATCGGGGGCGTTCAGTGTCTTGCCCAAGGACACTTCGACATGTGGACTGGAGGCACCGAGATTCGAATCTTCAACCTTCTGGTTGGGAGACGACTGCTCTACGCACTGTCGTCTCCCCTCAAAAAGACTTGAGGCTGTAACTGGTGCTAAAGGTGCTTCAACAAAGTATTGAACAAAGGCTGTGAATACTCATGTACATGTGATTTTTTTTTTTTTTTAATAAATTTGCAAAGATTTCAAACAAACTTTTTCCACATTATGGAGTATTGTTTGTAGAATTTTGAGGACAACAATGAATTTAATCCATTTTTGAATAAGGCTGTAACCTAACAAAATGTGCAAAAGATAAGCGCTGTGAATACTTTCTGGATGCACTGTATGTCCAGACGCTATTAGTCTTACCATGGGTGGGTGTCCCAGGCAGTGACCGTCTCCTGTTTGCTGCACTTTGACCATTCTGGTGTAGATTTGTGAGACTGGAGCTCTTCTGCCCCTGCAGTGCCTTCCTCTCTGCCTCCACACAAAGCCGAACCTCTTCCAAACACACTGGGGAGGAGGAGTATGTCCCAGACACTCCACTGTTGCTGTAGGAGAGAAGGTCAAGCTTCAGGCTGCAAATACACTGTAGGAATCTTTATGGTAAGTCGAACGTTGCAAACACTCCCCTATTCCCTTGAATACGCATCTCTTTTTATGCACAGTGAATAATCATAGATGTGAAGTGCCTTCTTGAAGTGGAATAAAAAGAAATCTGCAATACAAATGTTCTGTTTGAGTAGATTTGAGTAATGACTTCTTGACATGTACACAAAGAATATTACTGAAGCATTAACTGCACTACCTAAATTGTCCAAATGATATCTTTTATAATAAGACTTTTAGAATATACTTCTTGAAACAAATTATCACTACAAAGACTCGATCTTGCACAGACAAAGTGCTTTAGTGTCAACAAAATTTATTTCAACCTGCTTGTCTGACTCTTAATTAGCAAATCATCTTTGTAACTGCAAGTAAACAGGTCCGTGGAAGGAGTTGAGGACACACAGCTGTCATCTGGAGAGAAAAACGGAGGGACAGGAAGAAAAGGTTACAAAAATTAAAGTAAAAGACAATGAAACAAAAGAATGAATAAAATGAAGAATCAAAAATGTAAACTTAAGAACATGTACAAAATGGGACAAAACAAATTAGCTCACTTCATAACAAAATAGGGGGCAATCAACATAGGAAGAGATACATCACTCACCTGAAGTATGACTGCTCAGCGAGTCACTATCCCCTGGCCCGGTGGTGTGTTGCATCTCCAGTGAATGATCAGAAAGTTTATGGAGGAGGTTCTGAATCTCCATCTCGTCAGGGAAAGTTGAGTTCTTATTGGCTTTCCAGCCTGACAACACGTGGGACTTGGGGCTGCCGTCTGTCTGACTCAGAGGGTCAGTGTGCCCATCAGGCTCAAGATGGGCACTAACTGGAAAATTCTTCCTAAAGTGTTGAAATGGAAGGAAAGGAAGGTAAAACAATAAGAGAAAAACATTAAATGCAAAAATGTTAAAACTGAGGTATGAAAAGGAGACAGACAAGTTATATAATACTGTACTGTTTGGTTTTTGATTTGCCATCTTCCAAAAATGGGCACAAACTGGCTCCAGAACCAGGACTGCTGCCAGCTGACCTTCCCCGAGGATGGAGCCTCTGTCTGGGGCCTCTTCTCCTGGGAGAAGTCTGGGAATGTAAACCAGATAAGTAGGGTTTTTCCACCACAGGAACCTACCAAAACATGTCAAACTATGTACGCTCATTCCAGGTTGTGCGTTTGTTTCCACTGCCCTCCATCAGCTTTGGAGGTGCGTTCCAGGAGCTAAATTTCAGCAAGAGGTAGCACTAAAATCAAGTCCCAGGAAGAGGTGAGTGCTTGTGGAGCTGTCACCCATGACTGATTAAATGTCAGTGTCTTCACACCTCACCCATTAGCATTACAAGTACAGTGTGTAAACACACTCACTGGTTTGGTGTGGTTTAGAGGTAAATTATGAGGGCTTCACTTGTGGACTTCAGCAAGCAACCCGCAGGCAAAGGAGAGGAGACATCACATTTCTGTAAAACTGCATTCTACTTGGTAAACAACTGGTTTTGCTGAGTGACGGTTAAGCAAAGCATGGCATGGGGTATAACGCGTTAGGTTCCGACAGTGGAAATGCAGCTAAGTGCATCAACCAGTGCTAGAACAGCCCAACCTTTTAATAGAGCATAGATGTGGGCAAAAAGTAGAACCCAGTGCTACAGCTGTTGAAACATTTCTACATATTGCAAGAATGGCTGGTTTTAAAGCAGTTATATACCTTTAAGGTTACATCAGGATGCCCGGGGCAGGATAGAATGTGTACCGACTATTTTAAAACTATTTCTATACAATTTTTCATATCATGTCTCATACCTATCTATTTTTTTAAATGAGGTATTCATCATCCGATTTCTTTCACTGCTTCTTCTCAGACTATTATTTACCTCGCCTGCCATGACTTCAGCCAACTCCACCCCCAGCGGGCAGTAGTGAGAATCATCAGGTGGAAGAAGCTCCTCCTCCTCTGTCACTGAGCAGTGAGGTGACTGGCCACGCTCCCGCTTCTCAGAGAGATTCTGGGTACAGTTCTGAGGAGGTAAACTGCGAACCAGGGCCAGACTGTGGTAGGCACCACAAGCCACCTGTATGAAATAAAGAGAGATGTTATTTCTGGAAGTAGAACATAGTTTCTTTTTTGGCATTTACACTAAATGTGCAGGTGAAGATATCAGGAAGAGAAACTACCTGAATTACACATCTTCCAGCCAAGTGCTCCACCTATGCCACAGAAATTAGATTTTTGTCAAGTGTTCAAAAGCACACATATAGGAAAAAGGTCATCGGGTCACCTTGAAACAGTATACACATTTAGTTCAATTTCCCCTCTCAACAGATGAAAATACAATTTATTATTTAACAGGGCTGACAGCACTTTGTACAGCCAAACCTTTTCGATAACGGTCAAACAAAACAACATATTTTTTGATTTGTCAATATGCATGACAGGGTTTTCATTCTGACCTGCACAACCTTACCTTCTGTGGTCTCCACACAGGGAAACTGTTTGTGACCAGGCCAAGCTGGCAGCCACTGCCCCAGGCCCAGAGCTCATTCTGGGATGACAGAGCCAGGCTGTGCTCCCGTCCACAGGCCAGATCCACAACCCGAACCACTGCTGGAGGAATAACTTCACTGTCCACAACACTGACTGGGTACGGCTCTGAAACTGACATGAGGCATGGGTCACGCATGTAATGTACACACATTCAGGCCTAAATGCTCCTTCTGGGGGCCTTTATATCTAATAAGAAAGGATGATGTTTGGAAGATGCTGACCAACCTGTCATGTTTGTGACTGTACCCCCCTCAGCTGGCCCACACTGTCCTGCAGTGTTCTCCCCCCACATGTAGACACCGCCCTGCTCACTCAGTGCTCCACAGTGGAAGCCACCAGCAGCCACACGGACCACCATTTTCCCGAGCAGAGTCACCTCCAGCACTGGATTAGATGCTGGGATGCTCAGATCCCTCCACAGCAGCTCTCCAAATGAATATACCTGACCACCTGGAAAATAACAACAATTTATTAGAAATAGCTCACTTTTATATTTAACATGTCAAAAGAAAACTGGTAACTCTAGGTAGAGAAGTGTGTGCTTTTTAAAAATATATGGGAGGACTTCTTTTCATAAATATTTAATGATATATATAATGATGACACTGAACTACAGCCCAGCCTTATTTTAACACAAACACACACACCCAGTGTTAGAAGGATTCCATGGTGTTCGCCTAGAGCAGCCTGCACCACAGGTCTGGAGAGCAGCACACTCTGTGGACCGAGCTGCTTGCTGGGGCCCGCTGACTGCCAGATGTGGAAAAGGCCTCGTTCTGGTGGTGTGGGGTCCTGCTCATCTGCAGAGCTGCAATAATGCATGCAAACATATCAGCCTAATTTGGGCTTTCAGTTTGGATATGACTAGCCTTCAGCCAGAGCACATCCTGTTCAAACTCAAACCAGCACCACATTTTGAACATGGCAATCACCCTGTGGAGATTTGTTGTGGTTTTGCATTCTCTGAATGTTCAATTCAATTCTGTCTTGTTCATCAGTCATCCAGTAATTGTTTGGACAGCATCTGTAGGTCCTGACATGTAGTTTTATTTTGAGTGAGAAGGAAAACGTCTGTAAAATACTAAACAGCAGCAGTGTACACAACTCTGCATGCTAAACACTTCTTCTCTGGGTCTGATATTGCTGCTGGTCAAAGTCACATCCCATCATGGAGCACAGTCCACTACACGTGAAGCTGGTTAGCAAAAGTGACAAATACAAAAGAAATGTTGTTTTTGAAGCTGAAATTTCCAAAATATCAGTAACTACTGAAAATTACTCAGTAAAAGCCTAAGTGATACAGATTTTTGTTCATGGTGACACCGACTGATTGAGGCTGACCATCTTTTAACATAAACATATAAAACTAAGAAATATAAAAACAACTCAGATTAGTCACTTGTGAAGCACTTTGAGCTGCAGTAACAGTATTAAAGTTGCTATGTACAGTGCACTCATTGAGACTTAATTGTCTGACCACTGACAGGACGCTTGTGGTCAAGATAATCTCACATCTGGTCTGGATCATACTTAAAGGAAACCCTATTTCATGGGCATCTCCCTTCAACATGTTTCCGGTGGAAACAAGTTACGGGGGGATATAATCATTGCACGGTAAGCTCAAAAGTGTGTGTGTTTATATTTACCTCTCCTCTCTGTTCTCCATCACTGGGGAGTCTCTATTCCACTGGACAGTGAAGGCATCTTTATTATCATTCTTCAGAGCCCTGTCTTCTGTTCACTCCAGGAAATAAGTGGATCCTGTGTCTGGTTTCAAGAGCTTGTTATAACTCCTGTTTGTTGGAACAACATAATAAGTCTACAATGTCATTATCTGACTGGACATTAAGTCTAGCGTGGCCAATAAAGACTGGAATTATTTATACAAGTTGGTTCTCCTCTGGGTCAGGGTCAGAATAATGGACCTCATCATATTTAGGTACACAAGTGCAATTTCGCATGACCACAATGCATGATGTTAACTCAAGGTCTCTCCAAGTTGAAGAATGAACTGTGATGCTGCTGTGAAATTGATTTCAGACATATTGCCCAACGGTATGGGATTAAGTGAACCAGTTTGTAATGGTTCCACTGGGAGTGGGAGCAGCTTCTTTTCAGATTAACTGTCTGAATTCCTATGCCGCTCCTGGCACGCCCCAACTAAATACTCAGTTTAACTATTAACATACAGAGTTATGCAGTAGTTACGTGTTGACACTGGATTAAAAGCTTAGCCATGCAATACACATCCATTTCTGTGTCTGTGGGAACACGCATTACATAAACACAGAGCTCCTAAGTTAAACACAGCTACGTTCACACAGGAACGGACAGATTGGCTGCTAGGACAGAGATCAATGTTTTGTTTTGTGCCCGTGTGAGAATAAAAACCATCTGCAGTGTGTATCCATTGTCAACACATGTATATACGCCAACTTTACTTTCCTTGAAATAAAACACCGCGGTCTTGTATTGTCACTGCATATAATGGTAACATTAAACCTAATACACTGAGTTAGCTACGGCTGCTACAGAAGCTACCTAAACTTACCAAAACTGCCCATTGCAACTCGCAGAAGAAAGTCGCAGAGACGTGTGTGCGGCAAAGCTGAATAAATAAACTCAGATAAAGCAAGTGTAACTGTCACGGCAAAAACACTGAGCTATGCCATTCTTAACAGTTATTGAAATCAGTGCAGCGCAGTGAAAGCAGAAGTTATCTCCTTCTAGCAGCTCCGTGTTGTTGTTGCTGTTGGGAGAGAACTCGCCTATGGCATCCGGGCAGGGACAAACACTGCGGCAGCGCCACACCTATAGATTCGGCCGTGTGACTCAGAGAGACAATAGGCACACAAAGAGGTTTCCCACTGCCTCGATTAACAAGGATGAGCCTGTCTGCCAGACAGCATGTGTGTTTAGATACGGTTATCTTTACCATTGCTTCATCTGTGCACTACGGAGACCCCCAGGGGCCATGTGTTGATAGAAAATACAGCCAGATGAGTGCATGGCAAGCCGTTTTGGCATTTAATCGCCTACCTCTTGTCTGAAATTTCATTTTTTTGAGACCTGTATCCATTATACCATTTCTCACCGGTCAGAATGGTAATCAAGCATATCCACAGTAACATGTGTACCTGTATTTCAAGATATCAACAACATTGATGTTGCTAGGCAAAACTAAATTAAAGTTATCTAAAACTCCTTAACAGGTATAAGTGGCCGTTTTAACAATTAATTAATGGGTATGTACTGTTGATATCTGTAATCCAGTTCTTCCTAGTGAAAAAGAACATTTCAGATATCCACAGCATTATTTTTTCTTGGACCAAGGACGTTTTGCCATTCATGTGTATTAGGCTTTCATTTTCAGATATCCACAATGTAATTTTTGATATTTGCAATAAAATATTACCAAACTAATCTGAAACTAGTCATAATACACACTGTGGATATCTGTATTAGCATTTATATTATCACGATGTATTTATTTAAAACATCTGGAATGGATTTTCATTTTGGAATGTATGACTAGTAACAATTGGATTGTAAATATTTGAAATGGAAATGACACTGTGGCTATCTAAAATTGAAAGCCCAGTTCAAATAAATGTGACATCATTTGTCCTATAACACTGTGGATATCTGAAATGACAACTCTGGATAGGAACAGTGGCATTGTTCAATATTTGAAATGTTATTTTTGAATAGGAATGTTTGAATTACATATATCTGCAATACATAGGCTATCCAGTCTAGCAATGAAATATTAAAATGGCTTGTCATATAAGCATGGACAACTTTACCATGCACAGTAATCTATTCCCACCAATTCTCACCAAATTTTATTTTTTACCATATGACTCCTGGGAGCTCTCCAGTTTAGGCATGCAACAAATAAACCTGTATCTGCTAATACCTGCTGGGACCTGCCCTAAATTAAATATTGGATAAGTCAATAAATACTCTTAATTTCTAAACAAAGCAATACATCAGCTACAGATACAGTAGAGTACTTTTGTTTGTTTTATGTTAGCTACCCACCCAGCCTGCAATGTTATCTATTTGGATAGCTGTGAGCACCCAGTGACCTTACAGTATGCTTCCTCCACAAGCTAATACAGTTTTAGATTCTTATTAGGGGTTTTGTCATGTGATACTAAAAGCCAAAATGTTTTTTACTGTGCTAAAAATGTAGTATTATTGCTATAACAATTCTTTAAAAATCAAAATAGCTTATATACAAAAACATTTAAGCACTTTAGATTTTTAGATTGTTATCTATCAATAGCAGGGTCCCATTTTCAGTCTGCAGCATGACATGTCACAAATATCTACTCCAGAGTAGATATTAAAAGTTAATATTTTTCTCAAGCAAGTTTAAGTTTGTATAGAAAAGATAAGTGTACTGTATGGAAAAGAAAAGAAAAGAAAATATAGCTGACTACAAGACATAAATAAACCACATGGCAGGATTATGAAAAAGGGTTGAAGTAATGCAGCATATATAGGATATGCAGTAATGGATTTTAAATATGGAACTTAAATATGAACTGTTGCAGTCCTTTAAATAAAGATGGGGACTGCATGATCATGCAAGCAAATGCAAACTGTTATTACAAATGTCATGTTGTTTGCAGTTCATGCAAAATCAGACCTAACCCATGTTTCTCCACACACACTCAGAAACGCTCACCTGGTAATCCCATGTCCTGACCAGTATTCCCCTGTCCAAACCTATAAACTTTCTACTGCTGCTGGAAACAATACAACTGGGATTTACATGAGTGCAGAGGCAGGGGCGGTGTGTGTGCGTGTTTGGGGAGGTGTAAACTCAACCAGGGCTGCAGCCAGGCCACAGAGAGACACAGCAAGTCATGAGGGCAGTTTGATTGACTACTGTATAATGAGGAGTAAGTAACACACACACACACACACACACACACACACACACACACACACACAGTACTAGTACTTCTTGTAATATTGGAGGTACCTTTGAGTAAATGATGTAGGAAAATATTTGAAATATCTTTCTAACAGTTGTTAGCTACAGACACAAAGATGAACCAGATTGTAATTTTTGACATTCCTTTACCTCCTCAAGTCATAACATCACTCCAGTTTTTGTAGGCATTCTAGATGCATCCGAGCTAAAAATGTTTAGGTCAAAACAAACATCACTGGTTCACTGGTGCATTCATTCTTATAAATTAACATGTGTAATGTGTAAGATCCAATTTGTTTTAATGTGTAGTTTCAATTATATGTAGTCTGATTCCAAAAGAAGTAAAACTGAACTATTTGGCACTGGAAGTACTGTGCATGTGTGTGTGTAGGCAGAGTGTATTTAAGAGAACATTGAAAACACATGTCTGAAGGTTGATAAAAAATAAATATTTTAGGTACTAGGTTTGGCATGATCTTTGCACACACACAAGCACTCTCCCTTGGATGGAAGTTTGACCTTATGAATAACAACATTCATAGATTAAACATCAGAGACACTGTGTAGCCTAATAAAAACTAGGTTAATGCAGATCTTTACTGATCTGAACACCTTTTATAAAATAACTCATTTGATTTTGGACATTTGTAAAAATTTGTTATTTTTATATAGTCAGTGTAAAAAAAGAAAAACTCCCATGAGAACATCCTGTGTACCAATGAGCACTCCATTTACCTCAAATACCAAATAGGCCTAGGATGAATCCTACATATAATAGTGAAGCAAAACCTCAAATATGTACTAGTAGGCTTAAATGACTGCTCATCC